TGCATATTAACGCAATTATTGGGGGGCACAAGCGGGCTTAGACATTTTATACGTTCATTCAGCCAAATATTCCGCGCCCACTGCAGGTGGAAAAAAGGATGCGGATGAAGAGGTGATCGGTCCTGGGCAAAATGCAATTGTGAAGCGTTTTGCAAATATTTTAGCACTTTTAAATAAATACATGCCGGCGGGGCAGCTGCACTTTGCTGCAATTTATGGCAGCCAAAGTTAAAACGAAAGCCAGGCCAAAAATTGCATTCCCGTTAGACGGGGAAAACCCGAGGACTGCGAATGGAAATGGCCGCCGTGAAAATTCGGAAAATTCAAATATTTATTTTAAATTTCTGCGCTGCACAAACATTTCCGTTTTGTTTTTTGTTTCCCAGGGTGAGGCTGCTCCTGGCTTCCGGTCAATTTCGATGCCAGTATCTGGCGTGTAAGCGAGGACTATGCGTCCATCATTTAGGTTCATAATTCATATACGAAAGTCGGCAGTAAAATTACATCAGAACACATCGAAGCAATTGGTTTCCATTATCTGCAAAGACCTTTGTCCTCACCAATAACGCAGTCATCTTCATGCTGCGACTGGATTTTGGCCAATTACTCTTTTAAAGAGCCTGGATTGCTTTCACATACTGGGAGTATCAGTTTACTCTTGCGATAATCTCAAGTAATCACGTGGGCAAGGTTAGGCGCCTTACTTTGTGTCCACTCAAAGAAATGATTTCAAAATTAGGTAACAATTAGGTATTATATTTATGAAAGCTGAAATATATTTTGGGACAAAGAAAGCATTTATAAATCGCTTCCTCGAGGTGAACCCAAAATTCTTAGATGCAATTGGCCCAATCTAAAGCGCACTATACGTTTTTGCAGCCCTTTTCGCTGTTCATCGAGTTCTGCTGGATGGGTTCAAGAGCCCAGGCCAATGTCATTGACATGCCGCGAAAGTAAAAGCCAAAAAGCCAAAAAGCCAGGTAAACGGACGTCGCTCGAGGATCACGAAGGGCCAGGATGTTTGGCTGAGTGGGCAGATGGAACCGGATCGCAATATTGCGACCTGGCCGAAAGACCCATGCAATCTGGGCAATAGTCTGCAATATTCCACAATTTCCCGAACTGCCGTTAATTACACAAATGCAAAAGTCTGCTGAGCGGCCAAATTGGTCGGTAATAAATAAATTCAATTGAATAATTTATTTAATTTATTTTCGGGCGCTGCCAGCGCGTGACAAAAAACAGTAAGCAAACAAAATGTTTTTCTTTTTCACTCCGGCCCTCCTGTGTGTGGCAGGTGGGCAATATGTGTGAAAAAAATTTGTCCGGGATGCGGAAGTGTGCAGAAAGCTGACACCGAGGTGTTAGAATTTGGTGCAGCGCAAAAAGGCCAGTAAAGCGCACAACAAATGGCAAACGGGACAAAACACATTTTTCAGAGCCACACAAATGTGCCGCACAGGCACAGGCACAGGCCAAGTGAATTTGTGGAACGAAAACAAATCGTTTAATTGGCTTTAGCAAAACGTAACCATTATACGCTCGCCGCGTCGCGATTATATAACCGTCCATATCCCAGCTTGGCCCAACAACGCTGCCGTTGGCAGCGCCGTCGACTGCGACTCGACTTCGAGTTGACGCTCTGATTCAGGTAAACCAGTTTGCTGCGCCAACTGGTAACTGCCCGCCGCCACCTCTGCGACTGCCCCACTTAGCCCAGCTGCGCGATCTGTTTGCTTCGATTTTGAGAGCAACTGACGCAAGGGTGCCGCACCACCTTTACCACTCCGCACACTCCACACCACAAGAGCCAACCACCGGGCGGCACCGCCAGCTCAACGGGTTTGGTGCGCTAGCACAGTGAGCTCTGGCTACAGCGATCTAGCTGTAGGGAGATCTAGCTTAATACCACTGCTAAATCATAGCCTCTTAAATACTTATAGCTGTTTAGAGTAAGTTACCACTTTGGTTCATCAAATTAGACTTCACGCAAGCAAATAAGTTCGAGTTCCCCTCTGCAGATTAATCATGACAACTTTTGAAACTTTTCTTTTCTTTTGTCCTACCAACAGCTTTTTAAGCACTAGCAGCTCCAGCGAGACAGTTAACATAGTAATACTGTGTCCGCAATCTGGTCCGAGGCGAGAAATTCGTGTGGGCCGTCGAGCGAGAGCATATAAGATAATGGAAAATCTTGGCGCGACTTAGTCGCTAACCTAACCTTAGTCGGCACATTCGCACTTCAGTCCTCGTCCGAGCCAGAAATGCAGTCCCAATGCCTCCTGCTGATCGCAGCCGTTGCCACGTTGCTCGTGGCCCAGGTCAGTGCCCAGTGGCCCAGTGGTTGCCCTTGCTGATGGAGGTGACTCCTTATCCCCCACTTGCTTTGCAGACTGCGGCCAAGTTCCGGATAAAGAACCACAACGACGCCGAGAAGGCGTTCGAGGAGTGCCGTGAGGAGTACTACGTGCCGGACGACATCTACGAGAAGTACCTGAACTACGAGTTTCCCGACCACCGACGCACCAGCTGTTTCGTCAAGTGTTTCCTGGAGAAGCTCGATCTGTTCTCGGAGAAGAAGGGATTCAACGAGCGCGCCATGATCGCCCAGTTCACCTCGAATAGCAGCAAGGATGTGGCCACGGTCCGGCACGGCCTGGAGAAGTGCATCGACCACAACGAAGCCGAGTCGGATGTCTGCACCTGGGCCAACCGCGTCTTCTCCTGCTGGCTGCCCATCAACCGCCACGTGGTGCGCAAGGTCTTCGCCTGACCTGAATGTGGTATAGTACCCTGTGCTCCCCACAGGATAATGTAGCAATAAACATTTTTAGTTTTCAGATATATTTTCTTTTGTTTTACTTACTGAACTTGAAAGTTACCTCACAAAAATACTTTCCCCATTCAATATGCTTTGTAAGCAAAGAACTAAATACCATTTTAGGCATTTTTTCAACTTTTTATCTGTGGTTGATGATTGGAGATGTGCATTATTTATTTAAAAAACGGGTACAGCTTAAAATTGGTAAATGATTGTTTATTTCAATTGTTCCGTTCTCAACATTTCAAGCTGACAAATGTTTGCTAATAAACATTATATGCATGCAATATGTAAAATGCCTGAGAAATGAATAAATATATTCAAATATATATTTATATATAAATATAAATATCCTAGTAAGTTGTTTCCTAAGGATATGTGGTATTACATTTTCAGGAACAAGGAAACTCTTAATTAATTAACCAATATATCTGAGTGATGGGGTCGCTTTCGCCCCACCCTTCCATACGTAACTTATAATAACTTATAGTAACAAGTAATTGCACAGCAAATAAACTCCCAGCTTTAATCCAATTCGAACTTCATATGAGTACCTATGAATATATATGAATGAGACCCTAGAATAATTTATATATATATTTTATATATAATATATTATTTGAATAATTAGTCTAGTGTCTTTGGTAGAACTGACCTAGACCAAGGCGATCGGGCCACGCGCTCTTGCGCTCCTCTGTTCAGTGCATCCACATCCACTCTCCGGCGGATGAACTGGCATTCGTTGACCCGCCGACGTAATCTCGACTCGCTGATAACCTCCACTCCGCTGCATCGTCGCCGGCGGATCATTGACTCGGCCGGGCGGATGTTTTCGCAGCTAGTTCAGTTTGTGCATTGCCCACAGGAAGATGGGTTCCCGGCGGACTGTTCTACTCAGCCTGTTCTTGATCTGCAGTCAGGTGAGCCGGCACAGGAGGCAGATACGGATAGTTGCTGTGAAAGAAACCAAGAGCCCCGCGATTACCAAAATCGCCTTTACACCGCTAGTATACTAAAGATAAATACACTCGACGAAACAAGAAATGCTATATAAGGAAGTGAACTTAAATAGAACTTTGAGAAGACGTCCGTTTTTATTTTTACCTGCTAATCTATTCCGAGACCATCAGTACAAAACAATATATATATAGAATTACTAATAATAAACTCGACATCATTTAGTCAAACATTCTTATCAAGTCACGACTGAAATCGTAATTAAAAGATTGTGTCAATTGAACACAGCTTCCTTATATACAAGCTAATATACAATTGGACGTGACAGTGATATAAGCCCTTTAAAATTGGTCTAGGAAGGAGACTGCCGGCAATTTGTTAAAGCTCCTTCTGCGTTTTAGCCAAGAAGCTAAAGTAGCCTATGCTTCGCAGGCAGTAGCTGACCTTGCTGGAGATGCCCAGACGCTGGAAAAGTGCCTGCGGGAGCTGAGCTCGCCGGAGAGCATCGCTGACGATCTCCGGAAGCTGGAACGGTATTCGTCGTGGGCGCGGGAGGAGCTACCCTGCTTGATGCGCTGCTTGGCCAGGGAAAAGGGCTGGTTCGACGTCGAGGCCAACAAGTGGAAGCTCAAGCAACTGACCGAGGACCTGGGCGGCGATGTCTATAACTATTGCAGATTCGAGCTGCGCGGGATGGGCTCCGATGGCTGCAGCTTCGCCTACCGGGGACTCAGGTGCCTGAAGCTGGCCGAGATGCATGCCGGCACCAGCCTGAGCACACTACTGCAGTGCTCCCGCCAGCTGAACGCCACCAATGTGGAGCTGCTGCAGTACAGTAAGCTGAAGTCAAAGGAACCCATTCCTTGCCTCTTTCAGTGCTTTGCGGATGCCTTGGGCTTCTACGATCCCGCTGGAAACTGGCGGCTGGAGAACTGGAAGCAGGCGTTTGGGCCTTCCGGAAATGAGGAGTCTTCTGGCTCGGACTACAGTGGCTGTCGGCTAAGTGGGACTCAGCGGCAGAAGGCGCCAAACAAGTGCTCCTGGATGTACGATGAGTACAAATGCTGGGAGCGAGTAAATGGGAATGAGCTGGTGGAGGAGGAGGACAACGGGGGGCAGTCGTAAGACGTTGGTAGTATTACATTTATGCGGCACTTGTCAATGCCAAAAATTAATAAACAGTCTGTAAGATCTACATATAAATTTTGAAAGCCTGCTTTAATGCCATTGAATTAATATTTAATCGGTTTATAATTTTGCTTCACAATGATAGCCGCTTTAAAAAAGGGCGCTGGCTAGTCGGCCAGCGTGTAGCAGGTGAACTGTTTGTAATATGTGGCACATCGGTCCTTGCCACGCTGCCGATGGCAGTTCCCTACGCGAACTCCTTTGGCCGGAACGCCCAGGTGTTGTTTCATGGCCTCCAGTTTCCAAAGCCGCGTTTTCTCCTCGAAGATATGCAACTTGTCCACGAAGCACCGGGTGAAGCAAGGAATCGGTTCGTTGACAGGATAGTCCGCGAAGAGAACGAACTTCTTCCACTCGTCCAGGTGGACAATCTGCAGGCAGTCCTTCATTGCACTCTTGGCCGACGGGGAGATGTTTGGCATGTTCTCGATAAGCGTGAACGGGTGGTTTTCCATCTGTAATGCATCAAGTACCTCAATGTTAATAGGCATAGGCAGTAATCATTGAAAGCATACATTTCCACGTGTTTGGTAGCTATGTACATGATATAGACCGCAGTCGCAGCCGCATAAAGATATCAATTTCAAAAAAAATTTTGTTTTAAACAAGAGAGAGCGCTGTAGTCGATTTTCTTGGCTATGAGATACCCCTTACTCAGCTAATGGGAGAGCCAGCAAGAAATTTCGATATTTAAAAGAAAAATAAAAGTAAAATAAATAAACTCATTTGAGCTCTTTTTAAAAGTGTGAGTGACAGTTTTGGGCGGTTCGAGACCGCAATCAAAATGTTTTTGGCATACAAAAGATAGAATGAAACAAGAATGAATGAATAATAAAACGAAAACAATCGAAAAATTTTTCAAAAGTGGGGGCGTTGCTGTTATGGCGGTTTGTGGGCGGTAAAGTGGGCGTAGAAAACAGTTTTTTAGCAAATCTTTAGAAAACTAAATTGAATAATCAAAACATTTTTCAATAGACTCCTGATACTCCATAGACTCCATAGACTCAATAGACTTCACACCGATAAAGGCGGATTGTGGACCTCCTTGCAAGCGTAGAAGAATAGAATCTGAAAAAAATCCTACCTTTCTCTTTACAGGAGGACAAACAGAGGGACATGGTCAATTTACTTGGCTATGGATCCTGATCAAGTGTGTATATACTTTATTGGGACGGAAACTGTTTCCTTTACCTGTTAGATTCTTATCAACGAACCTAGTATTCCCTTTTACTGCGCAACTAACTGGTATAAATAGACAGATGACAAAAAATTATCTGCAGCCATGGCAAAAAAATAGGTTACAGAACGTTGATAAGCCTTACGGATTTTTACGATTTTTTCGATTCGTAATTTTAAAATATTTTTAAATTTTACACAGATCGATGGCAAGGCTGCCGATCACTATACGCATTGTGGGGTCGGAAATATTCCGAATAATGTTCCCATGGGAGCTTTAATATACATTGAAGCAACCAACAACCTTGTACCAAAGACCCTAGAATAATTAATTATATTATAACTATTCCAGTGTCTTTGTTGTACCATCACCTTTGGAGATCTGTGAAAATGAAACGCCTACTCACGTTGGTGATGCAGTGGAAGCCCTCGTAGGCGTGTTTGCAGCTGCTCTCGCCCAATTGGAATGGCTGTTCCAATTTGTGTCGACAGGCTTCGTAGACGGAGCTTCCAAAGACTTCCACAATTCCGGCTTTATTGAAACCAGTTAAGTTACTGTAGAAGTCGAACATCCCAGACAGATAACACCGCGTGAAGCAGGGGATTTCCTCGTAGCCGTCCGACCAATCCTTGAATCGTTCTAGGCGCTCGGCGATTTCCGCAGTAAGTCCGCCATAGTTTTGGATGCATCTGTTGATAGTCTCGCCTTCGTTCTCCAGTAGGGCCAGGCCTTCATTCTGTCCAGTATTTTAAATTGAAATACTTTTCAAACTTTTTGAAGCGTATCTCTTTTACTCACCAGCGAGAGGCATAGCCACAATGCAATTAATACGCCACTTCTCATTTGCATTGCTAACAATTCTTAATTTTCTAGTAGTTTCCTACACGTTCTTTGCTTGATTAAATACTGAAGCTTAAGCAAAAAAACACTACCACCTCGCTGCTACTAGGCATTGTACACTTGCAGAAAATGTGGCAGCCTATAGGAGTAGGAAAATAAAAACAAGGTTTTGGGAATTTATAAGGAACTACAAATGAAATCCCAAAACAACATTTTCCCATAATTATTTATGTGACTTCGTTTGACGCCATAGCGGAAAAAGTTTAATTGAACTGTTTTCTATGTGTGTGAGCTCTACTTAGCTGACTAATCAGTAACTCACTTTCCGGCTCATTTATTATAAAAGAAAGGCAAATGTAGCTTGCAGTAAATACTATTATTTGCGGATAAGGCTTGCATTATATATTTTATGAATTAGTTGCTGAGAAGCTCAGCAATTGATAAATCAGTTGCAAAAGAGCAAGCCTCTTATTAGTATTTGTGCTGTATTTTATTCTTACAAAGATTTATTCCCAGTGGTCTCCTCTGCCTCCATTAACAGATAACCCCATTTTCGACCAGCTCAAGTTCAGACTAAAGCTTCCCAACAGTTGGCTGATAAGAACGCCCTAATCAAGGTGCTTCGGTCGAGTTTTCGAGCCCGATTGCGCAAAGAACCTCAGTGAAGATTAGGCAACTATCCGTGGATCGTGGATCGTGGATCGCAGATCGCAGATCCGTGGTGACGGCTATGGGCCAACTGCTCTGTTGCATTTTTATTGATCAACACCTGCCAACGGGGCCACAAAAATAGTCACTGGGATGGGACGGTTGGATGGTTGGATGGTGCTGCTATTGAATGCCGTTAATTGATTTTGTGTTTTTGTTTTGGCATTTTGCCCGGCCACTTGTCGGGCTTTAATAATGTCTTTTCTGGTCGGTCGGCTTGTAAAGGAGCGACATCGTCCCACTTTACGCATTTTTGAGCAACCGGATTCGGGTTTTGGGTACCCCGGTACCCCGGTACCTCGGTACCTCGGTACCGAGCTCCGGTCTTTTTGTGAGCAAAACATGTTTAACAAAACACGTCGCATCATCCCAGCTCGATGAAGAGGTCTTCATCGACGCAATTGCTAGTGGGCAAAACGGCAAATAGCTCCAAAGTGGTTCTGCCAGATCGGCCAGGCAGTCAACAAAAACAACCGCCGCTGCTTCCACGAATCCGAGACACGGAAAAAAATTACATGCAGTTTGAACTAAAATCTACCCGTCTTCTAGTGAAGCTGGTTAATCTTTAAATATTATGACATGTCTGCGATACTTTTATAATCTTTTCACCAGGTTTCGAGCCTAACCTATTAATTATGCTAAAAACGATATTCCGCTTACATATACTTATGTATATACAAGTATATCTGGACACTTATACATATATACAAGTGATTGGATACATGTAAGTGGTCATAAATTACGTCGTTTAGTGTATAGGTTGCATAAACAACCTAGTAGTTGAGCAACAGCAGAACGGACAAGGGTTTTTAAAAATAAACTAGTAGAGTCCCCAAACTGTTTGGCCTAAAATAAATCCCTCCCATTTGTGCTTTGCTTTAAATAATTTACTTGATGAGTTTTTGAATCAAAAATTCATTTTAAATATCAGAAAAATAGAAGCCATGTAATGCATTTAACTGAGTAATTTTTCTTTTGCAACTTGGCTTACTAAGAATATTTTGTTGCTGTGGACGTTTACCTCACAATTTCTTCGCAATGACCTTGGCTCGTTTTCTTGCGTGTTTGGCCGTAAACATATAAATCCAGTTTTCGATTTCCTCTCTTCTTTCACTCTCGCACATTCGCAATTTGAACAAATTTTCGTTGTATAGTTAATTGTTTTTCCCCGCCGCCAGTTAACAGTTGCCAAACGGCTTTCGATGGGGCAACCGAGATGACAACGATGACGACACAGCCCAGCACCAGCACCACCGAGCCACAGAAATCAGAGATCAGAAATCAGCACCACCAGAGAAGTGGACTGTCCGGTGGGAAGATGCGTTGCAGTCGGGTCGGGTCTGACCTTTGGCAATTCGAAATGCAGCGCCTGCAACTTTGGCAACGATTTCAAATCGATGTCTGCGATTTCAAAACGATCCCGAGTCGGTGTTTAGCATTTTCCTAGCATTGAGCTCGGCTCAGCATAGATTTGAATAGGTTTTGAATACATTTTCAGGCAGGGCTGCGACCTGTCGCATTAATTCGGCTTTCTTCCCCGCCAGACGCGGCCAAATGTATTGAGAAGCTGGAATTTAAAAGCGCTGCCTTTGTGTCCGAGCTTTCAAGGTTATAACCCAGTTTCTGCCAGGGCAGGGCGTTCATTCGATTTGCCGCGTTGTCTTCTTTTTGGCAACAGTGTTTTATGGTGAGAAAGAAACTGGCACCGAAACTGAGTCTGAGTCTGAAACTAAAACGAAAATCGAATTTATTTACCGGCCTTTTGATAAAAACTGAGATGGTTGGGCGATAACAATGGACTGTCCTTGGCTCCGTTGGGAACTTGCCTGAATCTGAACTTGCCCCTAAATGCAGGCCAGCTGCGTTTAATGACATTTATAAATTGGGCCTGGCAAATATAATTAAAAATACATCAGGGTTGTGCAATTTTCGGCACATTTCGCATGCAAATCAAATCTCCACTTAACGGGGTTGCTTCTGCTCTTCAGCGCTTCGACTACTCGCTTATTTGGGATCTGGTTTCGAGGGTGCCACGTGAAATGGCCATAATTAAAAATACATCTGGGCGGCATGTGGATTTTATGTGTGTCCAAGCTGCCCCGAAAACAGTACCGCTGCCGAAATCGAAATGGAAATCGAAAGTGAGCTGGCGAAACATTGAAGAAGTCAACAACCTGTGCGTGTTTGTTGCCTTCAATTTGGTGCAAAACACTCAGCTCATTAACTTGGCATCTTAGGTGGGAATTAATTATGCAGATTTATTCATTGTGTTGCGATTTCAAGTGTGGTAAAATGCAGCCCGCCTAATGAAGGTGTGTGTGCCAATGATGATGATGGGATGATGGGATGATGGGATGATGGTATGATGGCTTTTGTATGTTGGGCGGTGGCTGTGCCCAATTTGGGAACACCCTGAAATCTCTTCCACTCAACTTCAGTTCAGTTTTTGATCTGACAAATTAATCTCCGATGAAATCGGCCGGGCTTCCGCCCTGGCAGAAACACTAGCTCTGGAAGTAAGCACTTTTCAACGGATTTTCGATTTTGAAAGTGAATTTCACTGATCATTGACCTCGGACTGTGGTTGCGTGTAATCGGTCGAGACCGAGGCCTGCCACTTGGGGATTACATAAATCCGAAATTAGTTAATAAATGAAAACTGTGAGCTGTGAAATGAGAAATAAGAAATAAGAAACAAGAAATGCTTTTGTTCGATATATTGAAATCACGCCGTTACGTTTCGATAAAACACTTTGCTGCTGCAGCTCCGGCTGCAGTTTTCCACTGACCCGCGGCTTTTGGTCTACGTTCATTGAGATGGCCAATGAAATTGGCTTATGTAAAATCACTGCCATCAGCTGCCATAAACGTAGTGACATAAAAATGAACGGAAGACAAGGTGAGCAAACACCTGAGTCAATTGTCAGGCCTGCGAGCAAAGTTAACGTTTGTCAAATAATTATCTTGTTGCTAAAATTATGATTTACTGCAGAATGGTCACTTCATCCATGGGCCCAGCGTTGAGGTCACCAATTAACACTGATTAAAACGGATGCCTTGGGGCTTACCTAAAGTAATTTTCATTGTCTTTTCTAATTAATGCGACTATGTTACAACCACACATCATTTTGTTGGCTTACTTAATCCTCAACTGTCCTTTTTGAAGGTCGTAAAAATAGGTAAAAATGAGTACTGAAATGTAATTGGCAACAATAATGGATTTCGAATTCGACTTACGTTCTTAGAATGCTGAAGCTTAGATGTTATCAGTTGTAGTGCCATGTCGTAAAAGGTAAATCGTTCCTAGTTGTATTTTTTTATGAAAACGTATCTTACATTATTTGGAAAGTTTGTGTTTTAAATAAACCTTTATTGGAATGGAGTCTGGCAACCAAAAAGCCATATGTCATGCAAAGGATGTTGTCGTGGCTCTAATATTTTATAGAAATATAGGAATAATACTATAGATTGAGATGGATATAAGTACGTTGCTAAATACAAATCTGGTAATCATAGTTTTTAAGCAGGAATACTTTTATACTGTAAAATCTGTCCACTTTTAAGCAAACAGTTCACTATTGAAGGCAGATTTATTGTATCTTTCTCTTTAGATTTATATTATAAGATTTATATTTGCTCAATTCAGTGAATTAGTATTCGCACAGTAGACATACAGTTTTCCCTGGCCAAGTTGGCCTAGACCTTGCAACTAGCCTAGTATATCAGGCATTTGCATGTAACCTTAGCCGGGGTCTATTGATATTACAAAGTCACTCCGCCTTCGCAGGTGATATCGCGCCCCATAATGCATTGATGTAGCCTCAAAATGCAATTAACGGCCCAACTTTCCACCACACCCTCCGAATTGGGTCGCGACATTCCGATTTTAATGAAGCGGCAATTGCAGGGGGCACATATAAAAAATAGGCATAATTAAATGGAAGCCGTTCTAACGGGTTGTGAGTTATTCAAAAGATTCCAGTCACGAACGCGCCTCGACGACAAATTACCGTTTCACAAATGCACTTGCCAAATACCCAAGAACCCGCCTAGCCAAATAAGCCAGACTAAACATAATCCACCGATCTCGCGTATTCACAATCACTCAGGCCACGAGTATCTGCAAGTTTGAGTATTTGTGCGCTGCCACTTACCACGTGCTTAAGGAGGAAAGGGGCACAGGGAAGGGAGTGTGTGGTTCAGGCCAAACAGCTTTTCTTCCGCATTGCACATACGATGGCGTTTGCAGACTACTACAGACTACATACTGCATACTACAAACTTTAGACTTCAGACTTCAGGCTGCAACCGCACCCACCCACAAATGGCCTGCTAAAATCAACAATTAAAGCCGCTCACAATCTCCCGCCTGCATCTGATGCAATTTTAACATTTTTCGAATGCTTTATTAATTTTGCGCTCTTTTAAATT